CTGTTTGTCAGGTTACGATGGTGGATTGGTATACCTAAATATGTGAAAGGTAAAGCCTCCAATTCGCACCCGAACAATTGTCTGTACGCATCTTGGTCATCATTAGCTCTTCCAAAATAGAATAATTCGCTTTTGTGAAAGTTAAGCTTTAACCCGGTCAATTGTTCGAATAAGCATAACACCAGCTTCATATTTCTCGCTTTTGCCAAATCATGCTCCATGAAGATGATAGTATCATCAGCGTACTGTAGGATAGACACACCTCCGTCAACTAAGTGCACAACGAGGCCACCTACCTGACCCGCATCCTTAGCCCGTCCTATTGGAATTGTCAACATATCGACCACTATGTTGAACAGAATAGGTGACATCGGATCTCCTTGCCTCAGACCTTTGTGTGTTTGGAAGTAGCGACCTATGTCATCATTCATTTTAATTCCAACACTTCCTTTTTGCGTGAAAGATTCTACCTGGTGTCTCCAGGCCAGATCAAAACCTTTCATATGCAAGGCCTGTTGAAGAAAAGGTCATTTGACTTTATCATACGCTTTCTCAAAATCCACTTTGAAAACAACTCCGTCTAGTTTTTTCGTGTGGATTTCATGGAGCGTTTCATGTAGGACCACAACCCCTTCTAGGATGTTTCTGTCCGGCATGAAAGTAGTTTGGGACGGCTGCACCACAGAGTGCGTAATTTGCGTAAGTCTATTAGTCCCAACCTTGGTGAAAATTTTGAAACTTACATTAAGAAGACAGATCGGCCGGAATTGCTCAATTCATACCGCCTCTGTTTTCTTAGGAAGTAAAGTTATTGTTCCAAAATTTAAATGAAACAACTAAAGTTGTCCAGAGAATAAATCATGGAACATCAGTAGCAAATCCCCTTTAACAATATGCCATCACTTTTTATAAAACTCCGCCAGGAAACCATCCGGCCCTGGAGCCTTATTATTCTTCATTTGTGAAATAGCTTCAAACACCTCTTTCTCCGTAAACGGGGCGGTCAAAATGTCATTCTCATCCGCAGCAAGTTGAGGGGCATCCTCAACCCTGGACTCATCCAAGGATACGAAGTTATCCTCCGGAGGGTCAAACAGCTGCTTGTAGTAATTGGTTATATATAATTTTAGGTTTTTCTGTCCTAAAATCGTCCCCTCATCATGCTCAAGCTGAAAGATTCGCTTCTTACGGTGCTTGCCATTCGCAATCATATGAAAGAATTGAGTGTTATCATCCCTTTGGACGATTTTGCGAACTTTAGCTCGCAATGCCCACTTCAATTCCTTCTCTCGAATTAGTTCTTTCAGTCTCATCTCCGCCTCCGTTTTAGTTTCCAGCTCCCTGGTATCTAAAATGGTGGACTCGGCTTTTAAATCTAGGGATTGAATAAGTACAAGGAGCCTTTCCTTTTCAGCCTTATAAATCCCACTCATATGCTTAGCCCACCCACGAAGGAATCTTCGTAGATGCCTTATCTTATTCTGTCATCTTTCAATAGGGGACCTCCCTTCTGAATCTTTAGCCCATTCCCTTGCTATCGGATCCAGGAACCCTTCTCTTTCGAACCACGCTAATTCGAACGAAAAAGTGTTTTTATTCCCTACATGAGTTGCCTCGCTAGAGTCAACGAACAATGGGGTGTGGTCCGAGATCGCGTGCGATAGCACTTGGACTGTTACGGGGGGAAACTTCTGCTCCCATTCGACACTAGCGAGGACACGATCCAGCTTCTCAAATGTCGGGTTTGGCAATGTATTAGCCCAAGTGAATTTTCTACCAGAAAGCTCTGTCTCTCTGAGATCCAAGCTTTCGATTATGATATTAAACATAAACGACCATCTACCGTCAAAATTATCATTATTCTTTTCTTCCCTCCTTTGAATAATGTTAAAATCACCCCCAACCAGAATTGGGAGCTGCTCGCTACCGCAGATACAGACAAGATCAGCCAAAAAATCTGGTTTGAGTTCTGACTGCGCAAGTAAATGATGCAGCATGCAAGCAATCTATCGGATGCAGCACGCAAGCATTTTGCCAAGTTTCCGCCAGAAGAACAAGTCATTTTGCCAAAACCACCCGGATGCTTCATCTACACAACACTTTCAACTGGCAAGAAGGCTCTTGTCAGCCAACCATGGATGCGGACCTACAAACTAAATATGCATAATTAATTAATTATATCAACTTTCACTCATCATCCTACAACTTGCGGGCGTGGGTGGACACGTTATTGGTTTGGAAATGCATAGGTTCTTTCTGGCAGTAGACCAAGTCCTTTGCCAACTCTGCTGCCGATATATAAAACTTTTAGTCGTTGATGCTTCACAATCATACCTGTATTTTCAGTTTGTTTAGTTGAGTGTTAGTTACAACCAGCCTACTTTATATATGTGCATTCTTTTCTACCAATTTGGATAAATATGTCAAAATTTTCATAGCCGGATACACATAGTGGCAATCAACATGGCTGCCGAAATCAATGTGGTACGGTGTCTAAGCTTAATTAACAATTTCTGGACAGCAAACGGTAAGACTTTGGCTAGCAAGTGGGTTACTTATTTAATTAGAATGACAAGGCGTGTACGGCAGAGAAATACAACTATATGGCCGGAGTGGGTGAATATGAGCATTTGATCACCTTGTGGTTCTATCGCATCCATCCCATACGCCAAAACTTAGTTGAAGGTGAGCTTTGGAGCTAGCAACCATGGAGGCGGCTCTGGTGAGTGCAGCAACGGGGGTCCTGAAGCCCGTCGTGGAGAAGCTGGCCACTCTGGTGGGCAGTGAGTACAAGCGATTCAAGGGTGTTCGTGGCGAGATCAAGTCCCTCACTCGTGAACTCGCTGCCATGGATGCTTTTCTTCTAAAAATGTCAGAGCAGGAGGATCTTGATGAGCAAGATAAGGTGTGGATGAATGAGGTGCGTGAACTCTCCTATGAGATGGAGGATTTCATCGACAACTTCATGAAAGGTGTTGGCGACAAAGATACTAAGCCGGATGGCTGCGTTGAGATGATCAAGAACTTGCTAGGGAAGTTGGGGAAGATGAAGACTCGTCGTCGTATCGGCAAGGAGATCCAAGATTTGAAGAAACAAATTGTTGAAGTCGGAGACAGGAATGCAAGGTACAAGACTGGAGTGGCTATCTCCAACACCAAAAATGCAACGATTGACCCTCGAGCTCTTGCTATCTTTGAGCATGCTTCAAAGCTCGTGGGAATTGATCAACCGAAGTCAGAGATTATCAAATTGTTGACCGAAGAGGATGGATGTGCAACAAAGCAACAACAACTTAAGATGCTCTCCATCGTTGGCTCCGGAGGAATGGGCAAGACAACTCTTGCAAACCAAGTGTATCAAGAGATGAAAGGAGAATTCAAGTGTCATGTGTTTATATCAGTGTCACGAAACCCAGACATGGTGAATATATTGAGAACTATTCTCAGTGAAGTTGCTAAAAAAGATTATGCTCACACAGAAGCTCGGGATGAACAACAACTTCTCTCCAAAATCTCCAATTTCCTTATTGACAAAAGGTACAGTCTATACTTCCCTCTTGTTTCTTGTTCTGACATGTAAAAAATAAACATACAAATTGTTACCGGAATATCGGATATCCAATTCGGCTCTTGAGAGCATATGCTCCCGCGCCCTAAAAATGATTTTTTTGCAAATGTCAAAAAAATTAGAAAAAAAATACATGTGTTCATTGTCACACCCAAATGCTGCCTGCAATTTTTTAGGGGAAAAACTTAAGCATTTTGACTCACGCAAAAAAAAAGTCAAACGCCAAATGTTATCTCCAAATGTTACGCTTATTTTTGTTTTTTCACTGACGAAGCATTGCTATCCTTTCGCATGAAATTTGTCAAGCACCCTTGTTACACTAACAAGAACATCTAAAAATTTAAGAATTTTTTAAATTTATTTTGAATTTACTGTTCATGAGGGAGCGCGTGCACCCCAGAGCTAAAACAGCTCTCCCTCGGAATATTTCCTATACTTTTGATGTTGTAATATATATGCTGCTAGAATACGCAAGCATCGAATGTATACTATTAATATGCTTTTTGTATTATCTCCAAGACATAGCTATGCTAGTCCATTTTGAATCATCTGATCTTTATAACCGCATATACTCACCTAGATTCATCATCCAAATTCAGTGTGTAGTTAATGGCAATTAAAAATTGTGTCAATGGTAAAAATGTCTTCCTCTCTTTTCTTTTTCTTTCAGTTCTTTTTTCTTATATTAAAGCATGCTAATATCTCTTATATCTATGTGCAGCTACTTTATTGTTGTTGACGATATATGGAAGACGAAAACATGGGATGTAATTAAATGTGCATTCCCAATGACTAGTTGTGGCATATTGATCACCACTACTCGTTTGAAAGACGTCGCTAGTTCATGCTGTTCATCAGGTGGCCATATTTATAATATAAGCCCTCTTGATATTGATCACTCGAGACAATTATTTCATGGAAGATTATTCCAGTCCTTAGAAGATTGCCCTTCATATCTTGAAGATGTTTCGGAGCAGATCTTGAAAAAATGTGATGGCTTACCTTTGGCGATCATTGCTATATCTGGTTTGTTGGCTAACAAAGGAAA